GTGACCAAGGACAGGGCCAGTTTTTCTAGGGGCAGATATCTTGTCTCTGCATCCAGGAGCGCCTTGCTGATGTAGTAAATCGGCTTCTGTTGGTGTTCATGCTCACGGACAAGTACTCCGCTTACTGCAAATTCTGAAACTGCCAGGTATAGGAACAGCATCTCCCCCTGGATGGGGACGGATAGGGTCGGAAGAGTCCTCAGGTATTCTTTGATCCCAGCCAGGGCGTCCTCGCACCCCTGGCTCCACATACTCTTCCCAGCACATTTGATTGCTCCAAAGAAGGGTTTGCATTTATCCGAGGAGCGTGAGACAAATCGGTTAAGTGCAGCCAGCATCCCTGTGAGTTTCTGGACCTCTCGGACAGTGCGAGGGCTTCGGATATCCAGGATTGCTTTAATCTGATCTGGGTTGGCTTCGATTCCCCGCTGACTAACCAGATACCCGAGGAATTTTCCCGACTCCACTCCGAAGACGCACTTCGCTGCATTCAGCTTCAACCCATACTCCCTGAGAGTGGAGAAGGTATCCGCCAAGTCTGTAAGATGATCACCACTCCGTTTGCTTTTTACCAGCATGTCGTCTATGTAGACCTCCATGGTGTTGCCGATCTGCCTCTTGAACATCCGATTCATCAATCTTTGGTATGTTGCCCCGGCGTTCTTCAATCCAAACGGCATCACTTTATAACAATAAACTCCCTTCGGAGTGATAAACGCCGTTTTCTCTTGGTCCGGGCATAAAGAGGGATCTGATGATATCCTGCTCGAGCATCCAGGAAGTCCATTCGTTCATATCCGGCTGTGGCATCTACCAGCTGGTCCACCTTCGGCAGGGGGTAGTCGTCCTTGGGACATGCCTTGTTTAGATCTGTGAAATCCACGCAGACACGCCATTTCCCCCCTTTCTTTCTTGCACATACTGTATTGGACAGCCATTCTGGGAACTGTATCTCTCGAATGGCGTCGGCTCTTAGGAGTTTGTCTATTTCCTCATTGACTGCGTTGGTGTGATGCGGGGCCATACGTCGTGGCCTCTGCTTTACTGGCTTATGAGATGGGTCAACATGCAGCCTGTGAGTAATTATTTCGGGGTCTACTCCTGTCATTTCCATTTCGTTCCAGGCGAACACGTCTGTATTCCCTCTTAAGAACCTGATCATCTCCTCCTGTTCGGCTGCGGGCATCGAGGTCCCAACTAGGAAATACTTCTCTTCTTCTCCTTCAACCAAGGGCACCTTCCGGAGGTCTTCAACAGATCGTTCAGCTGGGTCCACCCGGGGGTCATCCATCCCCGGACGCCCGGACTGTAATTGCTATTTTTCTATGATCTCTTCCGGTGCTCGCCCCTTCTCCTGGCTGGACGCCCCGGCTCGGACGGCCGAATAAAAACAGTTTTTCGCAGACGCTTGATCCCCCGAATCTCCATGACGCCCTCTGGCGTGGCGAACTTCAACTTCTGGTGGAGAGTGGAGTGTACCGCTCCCAACGCGTGTAGCCATGTTCGCCCCATAATCACGTTGTAAGGGGAGTCCGTGTCGATCACCACAAACTCTGTGTCGATGACGAAGGGGCCAGTGGCGACCGGTAATGTAATTTTCCCCACGGGCAAGGCGAAAGAGCCGTTGAACCCGATGAGGGGTGTCCTGATTTTGGTTAAGTCTTTGGGGCCAAAGCCCATCCGCTTCAAAGTCTCGAAGTACATCACCTCCGAGGAACTCCCTGAATCTATCAAGATTCTCTTGACATCGAATTTCCCTATCTTTAGGGTTAAGACAAGGGCGTCGTTATGAGGAATCACCACGCCCGTCAAATCCGTGTCAGAGAACGTAATGCCAAGTTCACCCATCCTGGCCCTTTTACTTGATGGCCCCACACCTCCTTCGGCTACCTTTCTGGTAAAAGCTACCCTCTTGAGGTCGGATTCGAGCTCTTTGGACGTGGGGCGCTCCAGTGGACACACATGGATGACGTCTATGACGTTGTTCGGTTCCTCGGCCGGGGCAAGGGCTCGTTTTTCTTCTGGCCTAGGCTCTATGTATTCTTTCAGGTATCCATCTCGGACTAAGCTCTCCAAGAATGACTTGAACACCCTGCAGCTCTCGGTGCGATGCCCGACATCCCGGTGATATGAACACCTTACTGTTTGATCACGGGTGGATGGGTCGCTTTGCATCCTGGGCGGCCATTTGAAGAACGGCTCGCGTTTGATTTTATGGAGCAACCTGAAGATGGGTTCCTTGAAGACGGTGTGAACTCCTCTGGACGAACCCCCTGGACGAGGTAGCAATCCCTTCCGGGGAATATCTTCGTGCTCTTTTTCCTTTCTCTTGGGTTGGAGGGCTCGGCCTTTGTTGTTCCCCAACTCGTCCTCGACCCTTGAGTACTTGTTGATCCGGGCCATCAGTTCCCCCATATCCGAGGGAGTCTTTTTGGTCAGGGATCGGTACAGGTCCGTGTCCCTCGCCAAGCCGAGCCGGAATGATGCTGCTGCCATGACCTCCGAGCATCCCTCGACCTCATTGACTTCTTCCCAGTATCGGATGGCGTACTGGCGAAGAGTCTCGGATTCCCTCCTCCTGAGGGTCAGCAGTGATCCAATGTCCTTTGGGCGCTTACTCCCCGTGATGAATCGGGTTAGGAACTGCCTTGTCAATTCTTTCCAGGACCCAATACTGTTTGGGGGAAGCGCCTCGAACCACCTCATCGCGGAGTCCCCCAAGCTCATAGGGAATACCCGGCATAGAAACCGTTGGTCTGAATGATAGAGGGACATCATCTGCTTATACTGTCTGATATGGGCATCGGGATCAGATCGCCCATCATAGGTCTTGAACCGTGGCACGACGAACTTTCTTGAGACGTCCATCTCGCTGATTTCCCTCGTGAAGGGTGTTTGCATGACTTCGTCCTCGGCCTCGTCCTAGATCGTCTTGCCCATTCTTCTGGAGTCTAATCGGGCTCTGAGATCTACTTCTTCCCTTACGGGATGCCTCCTGAAGTCTCTGGGTTCGTCGGTAAGCCCCTCGTTTCCTGGGCGTCGTGTAGATTGGGTTGAGTCCTCCTCGGATTCATCTCCCTTCCTCCGTCTGGATAAACCTCGCCGGAGGTCGTCCAGGGCCAATGGCCTTGCTTTCCTGGAATGGTTGTCAAGATGGCATTCGCCGGCTTTGGGTCGCTTCGGGGCCCTGGAGCTCTCTGCTTTGTGATCCAGGTGGTTCCTTAGATCCTTTGTCTCCACCTCATGGACGGGGAGTCCTCGGGAGAGGAATGAATCCCTCGACCCTCCGCCTGAGGCAGCAAACTCGTCGAGCCGGCTAAGGACGTTTACATTGTCCTTCTCCAGCTGACGTAATCTATCGCCAAATTCTCTTCAATCACCTCTGCCAGCTGACGGGCCAAGGGGGCTGATCCTCCTGACCTGATACCCATACTGGTTTGAGGGGTTACCCCCCTTGACCGAGTAGAGGCACTTTTAATCGTACTGGTGCGATCCCTCCCTCCGTGATGGCAGGGAGCTTGCAACTCATGACTCCGTTGGTGGGGTCCTTTCCCTTTCTGTTTGGTGTTCACCATGGTCACTGTTCTTTTTAGAGTAAAGATTAGGAAAACTACTCGTTTCCCACAGATGGCGCCAGATTGTGCGGGCTCGATCCTGCACGATATATAAAATATTGGGAACAGATCTCTCCCCTGGTGAACTTTGAGTGAGCCGGTTGAGTAGCCAAACACGCTGCTTGAAACAGCCTACAAGGTACGGTGGCAACCTGGAACGGCAAAGGAAGATCCTGGGAAAGGAAGAACGATCCTGTACGTGTGAAAGGTATTTCCTGGAACAAAGGAGAACAAGTTAGAAGGGCGCCGGAGTGTTTTCCGGCGTATCCCCTCCGACGGTCTAGTCAGTCTTTGAATGAGAGAGAGGAAGGAGAAAACACTGAGAAGGATATTTCGTAGTAGAGAGTTTGTGATTGCATACCCGCTTTGTCTTTTGGGAGGGGTATTTATACCTTAGAAGATCATGATTGCTGTCAGTGTGGTCAGTAGGTGATCATCAGGCACAGGTAGCGTGTGTAATCATTTGATGAGGAATGTCTTCTCTAATTGACTGCTCGGGGTCCCGAGCAATCAATGGTGAGTTGTCGGGACGCCGACGGTACAATATGCTCCTTTCGGGAAGGATGCAATAAATGCTCTGTAATAGGAGCATTTATTGCCTTTCATATCCGAACCTTACCGCATTAAATGCGGTCTCGTCAACAGAAGGGTGTAATTAATTGTTTGCTTTCCCAAGTCGCGTGCCAGCAGCGGCATGCGGTTTGTCTGCTTCGGATGTGACATTATTTGTCACGCGTCCATCCCTTATTGGCTGTTACGTCGGTATTCCAGCACGTTCTGACATTACTTGTGTAAGAAGAGGTCATGATGAATAGTCCATACTGGCATAGGCTGATGTCCAGTTTGTCAGTAGCTTTATCCGGGAGTAGAGGAAGCGTCCAGGATGGAGTGACCCTCGGCGCCGAGGAAAGGCTCACCTCGGGGGACCAAGGGGTGGTGTGTTCCCCGAGGTACATGGTGACCGAGGACACATGTCATTGTATAATGTACCGAATATGTGATCCTATATGAGAGGTACCTCGGGGGAGAGGACGCTTTTGCCGATGGTGCTTGAACCCGAGCAACATTGTTCTAGGAACCCCCGAGGACACGTGTCTTCATCATAGGCTTTTTCAGAAGAGTCCCATCATAAACAAATTTCTTCGTCAAGGGGATAAAGAAATGCAACAAAGGAAAACAAGAATAAATTGGGATTTAGGTGGAAGTAGCAGATACTTCCACTAAAATACCAAGTAAAAGGCAAGTAGCGCAAGAAAACACGAAGGCCAAACCAGGCCAAACATTTTTAGTTTTGAATGTGATTTTAGAATTGAATAACTTTGTTTTATTTTTTATGTTTATGTTTGTTTTGGTTAATTTTTGTCAGTAAGTGAATAACATTTTATATTAGAATTCATCAGGTCCAGTGCCGGCCATTGTGTAGAGCTTCCAAATGGGAAGAAACTCAAAACTTTCAAGACCCAAAAGACTTCATCCAATATTGATGAAGTCAGATTTCAAGACCAATTCAACAAATCCATCAAGGAAAACTTCTTGTCAAGAAAAGAATCGGAGAGTTCACTATTTGTACGAAATGAATCTTTACAAAGTTCACCATTTGTGCGAAAAGAATCTTTACAAAGAATGAAAGAATGTATTAGAAATGAATGAAGTTATAAAGAATTTTTACAAAGAATGAAAGAATGTAATAGAAATGAATGAAGTTATAATTCGTTAGCATCCTCGGGTCTTAGATATTCAGACCCAGAAATTTGTATGCACAATTGATTAATTAGCTGATTGTGGTTGTCATTTTAGCTCCATTTTGAGAGCCTTGGAGTGGCCTCCGTCCTTAGAAATCGGTTAATTATTTCGTGGCATGCAGATCAGCATAATACTTTCTGATCCATCCTTCTATGATCTCGATCTCTATTTTTCGTTGCATGACCAACCAGTGGGGATCAATTTCCCTTGCTTTAAGTATATCCAAGCAATGGGATCCTGCAAGTTGATTAAATTCAATAAGTTAGGTTTCTTGACTAAAATATACCGGAAGAGTTCAAATCCATAAGAATTGACGGTTTTGGTTGACAGAGTAAAGCACATACCATCAACGGTTTGAACGGAAAGTATACTATCCGATATATCCTCCAAAACCCTGTCAAAATTGAGAAAATTACCAAATAAGTTGCGTGTACAAGATTAGTGTACAAGTTCCACTAGAAGAAAACAAATCCTTCGTACTTACCCTCCACTACTATAAGGATCTTTCAATCCATTGGAGAAAATTATGTTGCTGGCAAATCTTTTGAGAACCAATTTTATATCCTGTAATATAAGCAAAAAAAGGAAGAACTCTATAAGTCCAAAATGGAAGTGAAATGACTTACGTACAACATAAATATAAGAAGATAGTTGATCAGATCAGAAGTCCTTGAAAAATAGTAAAAACGATGAAGAAAGAAGCCATACTTGGCCTCCATAATAGGTTGAAACCCAATGAGGTCGAGGTACGACACCAAACATGCTCTTGCAATCCTCGATGAAACTGTTTGAATTGAAAGGTTCTGGCGGGAACATAGTATCGTCGACCCCACGACCAATGGGCATCATCATTTCACTGCATTGCTGTGTGCAATAACCAAACACAATCAAATTAATGAAAAATTAATGACAATTCTAGCCGTGACATAAGAATTAGAGGATAACTATAATTTATGTCGTACCTGCCAAGCCCACCCCATCTTGGTTTCACTAGGATACTTGTATTCATTTATGTCATAACATGACCTCTCCCCTTTATTAGCAACAACGCCGGCGAATATCCGGCCAAGAATGTCAGTTCCTTCTGATTCTCCGTCAATGCCACGGCAGATTCCTGTGACTGGATATCTTGGTGGCGCATTATATTGAGCTGCTTGAGAGTATATTGAATCTAGGTAGGCCTTGAGCTCAGAAGAATCCTTTAAGGTCCTGAAACATGATAGCACTCATAATAGTTAGGGTTTTGAATCGGCAAAATAAATTCAGCAGAAGGTGTATGTGCAGCAAATACTGCTACTTACGAGCAAGTCTTGAATCTCTGCCTGAGATTTGAGAGGCCATTGGGCTTAGAAGCAACTTTATCAATTTCGGACCATGATTTTTGTATTGTTTCGTAACAACTCTCACTCGCATCCTGCAACATCAATCATTCCAATTTAATATTTTTTTTCAAAAACACAATAGAAACGGGAGTCTCGTATATTGGAGAAACATTTGTTAAATATTTAGATTTCAAATGATTAGCGATAATAATTACCTTGAAATCCTTGGTGACAACTGAATAGAACCCATTCTGTGGAGTGATATCATTGAAGTAGAGAATAGGAGCCGAAGATGCAAGAGCACCAAGAGTGATGTGTGGATACTTTAGCCGAAACCATGCAGCCAACACTGAAGAAGAGTTCAAATGAAAATATTAAGGTACATATATATTTGATTAAATATTTATATATACAATAAGTTTAAGAATTTGGATACGTATGTGTCCTCGGTCAAGTTCAATTATCCAATATTAAATTAATTACACCCAATTAATGGGTTCCATGGACGTCTGTGGTCCATATGAATTTCGTAGAAAACTATTGAAATTGACCCAAAGTGGCACCAATCAAGACAGAAAATATCCAAAGCCAAAACTAATGGTATGCATGGACTTACTTCCACCATAAGATCCACCGACCACGATGACGGGAGAATTCTGAGCATGCAATTTTTTCTTGAGATATAACAGCACTTCAGCATAATCTGCTAGAGCCTGAGCCGAGTTAAAATATCCTCGCATTTCCTCATTTTCTATTGCCTTGTCTATTGACCCTAATGGGTTTGATTTCCCATAGAACCGATGCTGCAAAGAAAACAAAAATTTGCGAAATATGAGTCCATCAACAGATTCAAAACCCATATATTATAGTCAGTTGTCTAAGAGTCATAATCAGAATATCCGACTTTATGGCTCTAAGTTAACCCACATCATTGTACAACGCGCAAGTGATATATGTTAATATATTTATGTGTTCTTACCTCAATATAGACAAGGAGAGCTTTGAAATGAGCAGCGTTGTCTGTGAGAAAACCAATACTATTAAGATCTCTATCTAGAGGCGCTTCTGAACCCAAATAAACAAAGATTGGTGCACTTTCATTGGCACCACCCCAGTATTTGGAATTGATCACATATCTTTGTTTAAAAGTGGTGTAACTTTCCGGTCTGTAGTTGAAATGATCAAGTGTTTGGGTATAAAAAAAAGTTCTGAAGTCATCTGAAACATCGGTGTTTGGGTCCTCTGAAAGTTTTCTTGCAGATATGGAGGTGGAGAAGAGTAGGAAAGAGAAAAGAAGAAGCCATTGATAAGAGAGTCTGAAAGATACCATGATGAAGTATTCGAGGGAGATATGGTGAAGTTCGATTTTGAGTTTGAGAAAGGAGGCGTATATATAGGGACAATGAAATGTAAAAGGCAAAACTGGGTTTTAGCAGTTTGACACAGTATTTGGTTGAATAATATTTCGATAGCGGACAGAATGTTCCTTAAATGTTTAATACTTCAACACGCTGTGACGTCACATTGATTTTCATATATGATCTAAATTATCTAGAGTTTCAATAGCTATTTTGGCTTGGTTGTATTTAGGCTTCTCAATTGTATTGGTTGAGGCGAATTATTGTCAGATTTTGCAGGTTCACGTCTAGTTTTAGCGGGTTCATGTTGAAAAACATTCCACCCATAATACTGTCATGTCGTATTCACTCGTTCACAAATCGGGTGACTTACTAAAGAGTCAAACACTTCATATCGTGTTAATAAGTCCCATCATATTTTGACAATTTTAATTGTATTGTTGTGAAGGTTTGATCCTAATAACGCCTCCTTAAACAATTAGACAAACTCAATTTGGTATATAGGAAAAAGAAAATGCAAGATTTTCTTTTTTTTCATTCATTTTTATTAGGGTGAATGTCACTTTGCATCCTGAAAGATTCTCAATTATATGTTGAAAAATGAAAACTTTTCAATTTTACCTGAAAATTTAATACTCAATTTTATTAAAGTGGACCACGTTGTTACCTTTTTTATGTGATTAGGGTGCAATTTGAGAATTTTAATCATTTAGGGTGTAAATTGAGATACTAAAACAATTTTAGGGTCTAAAGTTTCAATTGTATTTTTCATTATTAGGAATTAATGTTACCCTTGCTCCCATTTTATTTATAATGAGATTCAGAATCTTTTCGTAACAATTGCACCCATTGACCATACTGTGTCAACTATTTAACTGGATAAAGCTTTGCCACGACTTACGCCATCGCGTAATAAAAGTCAAGCCAAAATAGAATTGTATTTCAAGTGAAAGTATTTGAACTAGTTCTAAAATAGTTTTTTTTTTCAACGGTGCAAGGTGTCCGGACCACTCCAAGTCTGGTCAAAGACAAGTTATCCACGGCAAAACAATGAATTTCTTGTGACCCAATCGCTAAAGGGTTTCAAAGATTCCAACATTTTAAAATAGTTACCAACTGCATGCAATATATATATACATCAAATAGTTATATCTTGCCATCCCCAAACGTTAGGACTCACAGGAGATGGAATCTTACTAAATTAGTATTATGTCTCCAAATTATGTTCATAATTTATATCTCAATAGCATTAATGTTTATAATTACATATAGTTAAGTTTGTGTGATGCATTAGTCGAGCATAGTTTGATTCCAGTGGAGTTATTTATTACGTGTATGTCTGGTTGATCAACTCAATTATGTTCCCAACTTTTTTGAAAATTTTATTTCTTGAAAATTAAAAAAAAGAAGAAGATATTCAAAAGTTTGGTCCAAAAATTAAACGACAAATCAAAATACCGATTATTTTGATCTTCAATATTTAATTACATTATTTTAATCCTTGAATTATTGAATATATTGTTATATTATTCAAATTATTTTTTTTACTCATATTTAGGTATTACGTGACAAGTTTATAATAAAAAATCGTTAGTAATTTGGTTGTTGTGTGTTTGAAAGATCACATAAAAATATATTAAATACTTTAAAAACTAAAATGATGGAATTAAAATATTGGTGACTAAATAAAATAAACATCATACTTTAAGGACCTCTAATAAAACTAACCCTTTTTTTTTTCTATTCCATTTTTTTATCTTTCTGACTTTACTTTGTGAAATAATTGAGACCATCTTATATATGGAGGAAAATAATGAGATATCGTTCCGTAGAAAGTCTAACAACTTAAGTTTTTGGAATAAGTGATTTTTTAAAATAGTAATAGAACAAGTCTTGTATTCGTATATCGCCGTCAACCTAATTGTTAAATCTAGTTTATACGTGAAGGAACGAATTAAAATATAAATACTAACAACTTAAATTTTTAGAATAGATGATTGTTTAACAGTTCAAAGTACCAGCATCGAGCCAGTTCGATACCGGTACGACTTATTCGAATCATATATTCAACGGAGTCCGGCACTCTACAGTCTAATTAATATTATTATAATATGTAGCAGCGGATGTGGGCTAAGGTTGGGACAAATCAAATGAATTTGATCAATTCATGGGTGTGGGTCGACTGCCAAACGCGTGTCAACCAAATTATTTTTATATTTGTTTGGTAGACGACGACGACTAAGCCAAGTACGACACTTTCTGCTATTAACAATTCACAAGTAACTCCCTTGTTTCCGCTGGCTATAAGATTGTTGACACTAATTGAAATTTGTATCTATCCTTTCATGGTTGGATCGACATGCATAACTTTTGAATCATAGATATTCCCTCCTCTCTAAATTAAAACAACCACCGATAAATTTTTCATAAACAAAAAAATTATTTATAAAATCAAGTAAAATCTTTTTTTTTTATTTAAATTAACAAAAAACTAAATATCAAATATTTTTCATTATAGGCTAACTAAACGAGTTTGTATCATTTCAAAACTAGCCCATTCGTGAATAATATTAACCCGGCTCATGCATTATTTGAATAGAAGGTTGTATCATTTTTGAATTCGTATTAAAAAAACTAATCAACTTAAATTGATTAACTTTATATTAACTTGTGGCTAAAAGCACGTTACGATGTGAATAGTTTTGAGTTGGATATTGATAGTCGATGAATGAATTTATTTGAGACCGTCGGATAAATTTATTAAAATTTATTCTATTTTATATCATAGATTGTAATTTGTATTAATGTGTCGTGCAACAATTTGTCATTGGTAACATCCAATGCCTCGAGCCAACTTGCTGCAAAAGGAAATTCACAGCACTTTTGGTCCGTTTCCCTAACGGGATAATCATAGAAAATAAAAAAATAAAAAAAAATTTTAAAATTTTCATGTGTTTAGTTAGTATGAAATGAACCGTGATAAAAAAATTAATTTTCTTCTATACTTAAATTTTCTTACAAATAGTAACTTAACATTAAACTAATTCATTTATTATTTCAGTTGGATGATTATATCATTTTTTAAATTCCTAAGATTTTTTCTATTATTTTTGGTAAGAGGGATGAAATATAAGAGAAATAAAAAAACATATTTTTTCATCCTTAAAGAAAAGAAAAGAAATATTACTTTTATATATTTTGTTGGTACACAATGACTTGGACACGTAAGACACTTTCTTCCATTAACAATTCACAAGTAATTCCCTTACATTTTGGTGAAAAAAAGAATCTATTTTATATCATATTCGTGTCGATATGCATAACCTGTCACCCTAGATTCAGTATTTCGTATGCTGATTGAAAATTGGAGAGATTGATTTTCCATTATTAATATTAGAGAAAAAATAAAAGGAAATTAAACACATAAAATTTCAATTTACCGTTATAACCTCACAAAATTACTATAATGGCTTTATATATTTCACCTATATACATTTTCCTCCTACAAACAAAATGTGGTGTAAAATTGAACACGTGCCTGCCAGAGTTGAACAATGTAAAGATATTTGGGCATGGGCAAATAAGTAATTATAGCATTGTAATTCAAAGTATCCCATTTTTCTTCAGTTTTTCGCCCACAATCGGACGGATGTGTTTTTTGGTGAGCATTAGAATGGATGGCCTTTCCTTCCATTTTTCTTTGAAACCAAACAGTGGAAAATCAATCTCCCTCTCTTTTTTTCGTCTCTTCATTACCAAAACACAGTGTTAAATCCTTATTTTAATAACTTGTTCCCTAATAATACAAGATCCCCACTAATGTAGTATCTTAAGTATCAATGTTTTTGCAGGCAAACTTTGTGACTTAAGAACCTGTTCCTAATACACTTTTCGTGCTCTGCTTCAAAAGATAATTGGTAAGGCTGCGATTAGTAACCGGTGGCACGGAAAAGTCTGCGATACCAAAAAAAAAAAATTTGGTACGGTACCGTGATTATTAGTATTGTGATTTATTTTTATAGTTTTGAAGGATCATTTACAAGTTTTGAGCATCACTAATAATATTTGAGTATCATTTATCACTTTTAGGGATCGTTTATAATTTTTGAAATCACTTAGGTAAGGTAATATCAAGTGACAGTTAACATTTTGCAAGTTTATAATAATTTTAAATTGTACTTTTGATGGACAATTCATAGGCCAAATCGAATTAGCATTGGGTCAGTTCTACTCGGCCTCGAGTTCCTGTTTAGAGCTGGAGCTTCAACGAAACTCTTCCATTCAGCCTCTAATTCTTTATATTCGTTCATTAGAGATATGTTGTTTGCAATCTTTATATGTGGTAGTGAATTTTTATTGATGTACTTCGATAGTGGATGCAATCATTATAACATTCTTGATTTGGCCTTAGCAAAACTATTTCATTCTCTAATTTTCGAGTTGTCTCAAGTATTAGACATGTTCTTCGATCGATTTCTTGAAGGCAAGAAGATCAGCATAGTACTGTTTTATCCATCCTTCAATGATCTCCACCTCTCTCTTTCGTTGCATGACCAACCATTGGGGATCACTTTCTTCTGCTGGAAGCAAGTCCAAGCAATGAGACCCTGCAAAGTATATATGTATATAAATATGTTGTATAAGTGATGGTTCCCATGAAATTAATGGGACAAAACACATGCTCTACAAAGAAAAGACCATGGTACCTAATTTTTAAGTCCCCACAACATTACTCTACCTAATTTGATGTCATATCCAAACAATGAACAGATTTATATAAGACTCCTGAGGATCAAGTTATGGTTGAATCTTTATGAGTCAACTTTTCTAAATCTCATTTGATCAGAATTTTCCATATGATAGGTGAAAGTGATTTTCGATATTCTACTCTTTCTGACTTTAATAATATCTTAAAGAAATGAGCAATACTTATCAGTTAAATTTTCATTGTCATGGTATCTATGTTTAAGTAATAGCAATGAGATTTTCCAATATCATGCTAAGAATAGCTAGGATTTTCAGAAGATGATGTCATTCGTTTGATGAAAAATAAAAAAGAATGTCGAAACTAAATAGCATCAGCAAAGTTGGAGCCATCTTAATCGATATTGGCTAGAGAGATAGTTGATTCCATACCATTAAGTGTATGGACGGCCAGCACACTGTCTGAAATATCCTCTAACACCCTATGATTAGATAACAGAAAAACAAGTAAATTAGGTCAATAACATTGGTTTCATATCTCAACAAAAAACCAAGATGTCTTTCTTTTTTCTGATTACCCGCCGCTACTGTAAAAATCTCTCAGGCCAATTGAGAAAATGATGTTGCTGGCAAACCTATGGAGAACCAATTTTATGTGCTACCAAGTTGCATAAGAAAAATGGAGTTTATAAGTTCTTAGTTATTAAAGTTGAAGTAATATCAATTTCTGAATGAGAAATAAATTCATAAATGCCATAAATTCTTTGGAAATACTGGACAAGGATAAATCATAAGGACATACATAGCCTGCATAATAGGTTGTGACCCAATGAGGCCGAGGTCGGACGCCAAAAATGTTCTTGCACTCCTCATAATATTGCTTTAAATCGAAAGGTTCCAATGGGAACATAGTGTCATTTCTATCACGGTCAATGGATATGGCCATTTCACTACAAATCTAAACAAACCACCAGTCATTTTGGAATGAATATAACCAAATAATTCAGAAAACAATAAACAGTAGAAGTGCATTAGCCAAAATCCTTTAGTTTATCAAAGGGGGGAGAATGATGAATTTCAGCGTTTTGATTCAACTTACAACAATCACAGATGGTGAAGTTTAATGTCAATTTGGTAATCCCTTTTTTAATAAGTTTTTTGCAAGTAAAAAATCAATTTCGTCGTCAAAGTAAAAGCATATCTGATCATCTTAGGTCATGAAAAAAAAATCTATAAATATATGCATTTATATACCACTACACATGCAACTAGGGTTAGAAGGATGGACTTAGTTCGGATAAAAAAAAAAAAGCAGGTATAAAAAACAAACGCTAGTTGAAAAAAATACTTCAAAAACCAAAAAATAAGAGAGAGAAGACTTGAAAAAGGTCGTTATCAAATAGTACTTGAGAAAGTGATATGAATTTGTAACTTACTTGCCATACCCACTCTGATTCACTTAGATCACCATCTTGACTCATATCATAGCATGACTGATTCCCTTTCAAGCCAATCACATCTGCAAATACCCGAACAAGAATATCAGTTCCTTTAGATGCTCCATCAGTTCCTTCATATTGAGCTGCCCCACAGTAAATTGATTCAACCTAGTCCTTGAGGTAAGAAGATTATTTAGGAGCCTGGAGAAAAAAAAAAGAGTTGCTTAGCTGAGGTACAAGTCAAATAAGTTCAAGAGAGGACAATGAAGTGTGTTTTTCTCTTCTTCTTTTTTTCCTCGAAACCAAGTAAATGATTTCATTAACCGAAAAGAAATACAAGTGTGCAAAGTATACCCCCTTAATTCCAAAGTAACACAAAAGAGAAATGTGTTACTCGCGCAAGTCTTGAATCTTTTGCTGAGGACTGAAAGACCATTGGGCTTTGAAGCGATTTTATCAATTTCAGACCACGACATTATTATAGTTTTGTACCAATTCTTACTAACTTCCTGCAACACCATCCCAATTCATAAGCACTTGTGAGGTTTTAGAGTTCAACTGACAAAGTTCTTTAAAAAAAAATTGAGTTCTGATTACTTTGAAATCCTTGGTGACAACTGAATAATAGCCATTTTGTAGAGTGATGCCATCGAAGTAAAGAATTGGAGCTGATGAGGCCAAAGCACTAAGAGCAATGTGTGGATACTTTAGTCGAAACCATGAAGCAAGCACTATAAAGTTCATAAACCAATAAATAGGATCAGATTTGCAATAACTAATACGGAAATTTAAGCTTGTGGATGATGATTTGAAGGTATTTACTGCCCCCATAAGATGCTCCAATGATAATAATGGGCGAATTCTGTGCAAATAATATTTTCTTGAGGTACATTAGCACTTCTGCATAATCTGTTATAGTTTGAACTGAGCTGAAATAATCGTGAATACTATGATTTTTCATGGCCTCTTCTATTGATCCAAATGGAACAGATTGTCCATAGAACCGATGCTAACCAAGAAAAAAAAAGGTTCATATAACAAAAATTTTGATAACCCTTACCCATGAAAACTTCAAAGATTGCATATTAATAGACAGAAAGTGGTTGAGGATATAGAGTGTTTATCACATTCATGCAATAAAATTTGGTATATATGTGGTTTAAAGCTCCCGAGATTTATTGTAAGCCATGATAAGTGGTAAGATATGGGATAAAAATCCTAGGCTCATGTGGTTAATATTTCATTGTGTATATCATACATTATATTTTCATATTACATGCATTTATTTGTATAAATATTATTTAGTATTTACAAGAAATTATTTTTTAAGCAATGCATATTTACACCGAATTTGCATCATATTATAAATTGGATATTTATGTTGGATTTTTTTTAGTCAATATGAGTGGTTTGATTAAAGGGACTCGACAACCAGTGAAAGACGCATTCAAACTTGATATATAACCTAATTGGTTTTAGGGATTTGAAGAATAATTGGTGATTGCTTGCCCAAATTATGGGAGGTTAAGAGGTCAACATTTACCTCTATAAAAACTTGTAGAGTTTTAAAGCAAGGGGCATTCTCTCTCAAAAACCCAAGGATCACTAGATCATTATCAATTGGCCCTTCTTCACCTAGATAAGCAAAGATTGGTGCACTTGCATTTGCACCACCCCAATATTTCCAATTGATCACATATCTTTGATTGAAAGTGGTATAGCTTTCTGGTCTGTAGTTGAAGTGATCAAGTGTTTGAATGTAGAAAAAAAAGTTTCAAAGTCTTTTGGAGTGGGTGTTGATCTGATACCAGTGTCACGAAAAAAAGTTCTATGGGTTTGGACTGAGCCTTGGAATATTATATGCTATGGCAGAAAAGGAGATTGAGAATATAAGTAGAAACAAAAGCAGCAATTGGAGCAAAGGTATATGATGTTTCATTGCAAAGTGCTCCATATAACTTTCTTCTCAAGTTGTACTTTGAGGCTCAAAGTTTGTTCCACCGGCTTCCACATGCCCACTATTTATAGACATGGACACACATTTTATATATGGTGTACATTATAATTTTTGTTTCGAAAACAGATCACGAATTAATAATAAATGTTGGACTTTTAGGCTCCGTGAATATGAATCATCACTATTTCCAACAGTTCAAAGAGACAAAATCACATAGTTCGAGGGGTAAGTAACAAAGTAAAGATACCATCTAATTTATAACGAATAACTATAACAGTAATACTATGTTAATCAAATTTGGAGTTCAAATGACATGACAGTTAACTTGAATTTCTTTATTTGGTGTCATGTCATTTGGGCCCCAATAAAATACTTCAAATAATATGTTGTCATGTCATTTGAACTCTAAATTTAATCTTAGCATTTGGTCAGTGCAGTACTACTATATACTGTAGCTATAATTGGTATAATATAAGGCCAACCAATACAAGACAAACATAATGGAGTATTGTGAGAGAAAGACATAGTTGTCAAACTGTAACTTGACCCAATACTTTTATGTGGGCTTAAGCAACTGTAGCTTTGTCTGTGATGGTACTAATTTTAGGGTAATACTAGCTGAATAGAGTTTATGGCAGGCAGAATAATATTCCAAAAGCTAAAAGCCTTTAAAATGCATAAAGCACACATCCAATGATGTTTTGAAAAGTGATTTTAAAATTGGAAAAACTCATATTTTATTTGTTATTGGTAAGCGAATAACTTTTGCAGTGGATTTAGTTTGAGCTTGGGTGGAGCTAGCAACGAGCCAGAATCGGCCAATTTTTTAAAAAATAAAGTATAAATTACGCCAATGGTCCATGTTGATTTCAAATTTCAACCCGATTTGTTCAACCCAAGTTCAAAAAAAATAAACTTGAGCAATATTGCTATTGAAGTATTGGAGCTGTACTCGGATTTAGAGTATTATAACTTGAATTAATTTGAGTTCAACTCTTGGCACACCCAACTTGGCCAAATTACACCTCTAGTTTATCTTGTCTTAAAGCTTTAGAACCCAAAAGTAGCGGAGTCTCTTGTCGAATGTGTAGGTTCTCAAACGCATATTGTTTATCTTTCCCCTTATAGGGGACAAGATGGATTCATTTTTCTTGTACGACCAAATAGATCATAACAAAGAAAGTTCCATCACTAAAAAATGTTCATTTTTTAATTGAACAGATCACTAAACAATGTGTTTGTTTGGAGCTAACTTAAATAGGTAGTTTTTAAGGGTTTTGTAATAAAATAAGTCAGGTTCATTCTTAAATTTTTTCGCAACTAACCAATTTTCGATTTCATAACATCTTGATCAAACGAGGTTTTTTGAAGAACAATCACCAAATTTTAAGCATGAAGTCATATTTCAAGACCAATTGAACAAATCAATCAAGGAAATCTTCAGAGTATATAAATTGTGTAAAAGAATCTTTACAAAGAATGAAAGAATGTAATACAACTGAATGAAGTTATCATTAGTTCGCATCCTCGGGTCTTAGATTTTCAGACCCGAAATTTGTATGCACACTTGGTTAGATGATTATGGTTATAATTTTAGCTCCATTTTTAGAGCTTTGGAGTTGCCTCCATCCTTAATTAGAAATCAATCAATTATTTCGACGCATGAAGATCAGCATAATACTTTCGGATCCATCCTTCTATGATCTCGATCTCTACTTTTCGTTGCATGACCAACCACTGGGGATCAATTTGCCTTGCTTTAAGTATATCCAAGCAATGGGATCCTGCAAGTTGATAAAATTGAATATGTTAGGCATTTTAATGCAAATATTTTGACGTGGATCTAACTCTATATAAATTGACCGTTTTGATTGACAGAGTCAAGCACATACCATCAACAGTACGAACAGAAAGTATATTATCTGATATATCCTCTAGAACCCTGTGAATAATGAGAAAATACCCAAATAAATCATTTGTACAAACAAGAATGGTGTATAAATTCCACTAGAAGGACACAAATCCTTTGTACTTACCCTCCACTACTATATGGATCTCTCAATCCATTGGAGAAGATGATGTTGCTAGCAAATCTTTTGAGCACCAAATTTATGTCCTGTAATATAGCAAAAAAGGAAGAACCTTGTAAGTTCAAATTGGAAGTGAATATATTGCGTACAAGATAATTTTAAGCTGATAATTGACTAGATCAGAAGTCCTTGGAAAATAGTGAAAAACATGAAGGAAGAAGCAATACTTGGCCTCCATAGTAGGTTGTAACCCAATGAGGTCGAGGTACAACTCCAAACATGCTCTTGCAATCCTCAATGAAGTCGTTTGAATTGAAATTTTCCTGTGGGAACATAGTATCGTCGACACCACGTCCAATGGGCATCACCATTTCACTACATTGCTGCCAAGCCCATCCCATCTTGGTTTCACTAGGATACTTGTATTCATTTATGTCATAACATGACCTCTCCCCTTTATTAGCAACAACTCCGGCAAATATCCGGCCAAGAATGTCAGTTCCTTCCGATTCTCCGTCAATGCCACGGCAGATCCCGGTGACCGGATATCTTGGTGGCTCATTATATTGAGCTGCTTGAGAGTATATTGAGTCTAGGTAGGCCTTGAGGTCAGAAGACTCTTTTAAGGTCCTGAAACATGATAGCAATCATACAAGTTAGGGTTTTGAATCAACAAAATAAATTCAGCAGAAGGTCTATCTACAGCAAATACTGCTACTTACGTGCAAGTCTTGAATCTTTGGCTGAGAATTGAGAGGCCATTAGGCTTGGAAGCAACTTTATCAATTTCTGACCATGATTTTCGTATTGTTTCATAACAACTCTCACTCACATCCTGCAACATCCATCATTCCAATTTAATATTTTTTTTTTCAGAAACTCAGCGAGAGTCTCGTATACTGGAGTAACATTTTTTAAATATTTAGATTTCAAATGATTAGCGATGATAATTACCTTGAAATCCTTGGTGACAACTGAATAGAACCCATTCTGTGGAGTGATCTCATTGAAGTAGAGAATAGGAGCCGAAGATGCAAGAGCACCAAGAGAGATGTGTGGATATTTCAGCCGAAACCATGCAGCCAGCACTGAATTCATATAAAACTATTAAGGTACATATTCTATAATAATATTTATATGTACATTAAATTTAGGAATTAGGATATGGATCCTCCTATAACAATTGAATTTATTACATCTTATTAATGGTTTCGGTGAATGAGTAACGCTACATTTACCAAAATTTGAGATCAAATTTGAAGCCCAAATAACATGGCAGTTGATTATTTGAAGTTTTTATTGGGGCCCAAATGACATCACACCAATCAAAAAAGTTCAAGTCAACTGTCATGTCATTTGAACTTTAAATTTAATTCTAAAATTTGGTCAATCTAGTATTACTCGGTGAATACCACCTGACTTTGGTGGTTCACCACTTCACGTGAATTTAATGCAAAACGATTCAACTTTATCCAAAATATGGAGCAACCGAGAAGGAGAATATCTAAAGCCAAATACTAATGGTATGCAGGTACTTACTTCCACCATAAGATCCACCGACGACGATGATTGGAGAATTCTGAGCATGCAACTTTTTCTTGAGATATACCAACACTTCTGCGTAATCTGCTAAAGCTTGAGCCGAGTTGAAATAGCCTCGCATGTCCTTATTTTCTATTGTCTTTTCTATTGACCCTGATGGGTTTGATTTCCCATAGAACCGATGCTGCAAAGAAAATAAAAAATTTCTAAATGTAAGTCTATCAACTTATTCAAAACTCATATATTACACTCGGTTCGAGTCACCAGCAAGAGTCATAACCAGAACGTCTGAGTTTATGGCTCTAAGTTAACCCACATCATTGGACAACCCCGTAAGTGATATATGTTAATATATTTATGTGTTCTTACCTCAATATAGACTAGCAAAGCTTTGAAACGGGCAGCGTTGTCTGTGAGAAACCCAATACTATCAAGATCTTTATCTAGAGATGCTTCTGCACCCAAATAAACAAAGATTGGTGCACTTTCATTGGCACCACCCCAGTATTTAGAATTGATCACATATCTTTGTTTAAAAGTGGTGTAGCTTTCAGGTCTGTAGTTGAAATGATCAAGCGTTTGGGTGTAAAAAAAAGTTTTGAAGTCATCCGAAACAATGGTGTTTGGGTCCTCCGAAAGTTTTCTTGCAGAAATGGAGGTGGAGAAGAGGAGAGAGAGAAAAAGAAGCCATTGATAAGAGAGACTGAAAGATTTCATGATGAAGTATTCGAGGGAGATTTGGTGAAGTTTGGTTTTGAGTTTGAGAAAGGAGGCGTATATATGGGGACCATGAAATGTAAAAGGCAAAAATGGATTTAGCAGTTTGACTGAGTTTTTGGTTGAATAATATGATTTCATATTTGAAAGATTCAAAAAACAAAACAAAAAATAGTCGAAAGGTTCATTAAATGCTTAATATTTCAACACGCTGTGACCACATATTGATGTACTCATGTGTGATCTCAATTGTCTAGAGTTTCTAAAGCGGTTTTGGATTGGCTGTATTATAGTGAAAAATAAAAAAATAAAAAAATAAAAAAAAAGAAACAGCATTTTTTATGTACAACGATCCTTAATAAATGTGTCAAGTAATAGAAATCTTGCTAAGGACTCAAGGGTAAACTCATTTTGGTAGAAAAAAGAATGGGTAAATATAAAAGCATTATTTCAAAGACATTTTTATATTTTTAAAAATATCACCGACGGTTCCTATAAATATTTGTCGAAAATGTAAATTAACAAGTCGAAACACAACTTAAGGAAACTTGAAGTATTCTTTGTTACAACGATGACAGAGTTGTCCTAAAGAAATTATTGAACCCATTGACTGAACTCTGTCAACTAACTCTACAAGGGTACATGGTTTTTTTTTTTGGGTAAACATGGGAACTAAGTTGAACTCGTCCTAAAATAGTTTTCTATAGTTATGTGAATACATATTCAACACATATATTCATATTGACACTCACAAAGATTAGGACTAACGAGCGGTCGTATAATATCATATTAGTATATATCTTGTCAAATTCAGTTCAAATATATCTTTTCATGTGAAAATTTAATTAATTTATTTTTGATTCTTTTATAATTATTATATGTAGTCAAGTTGGTCATGCATTGTTCATATAGAGTTTGATTATAATGGAATCATATATTAAGCATGTTGAGTTGGTCAACTCAATTTGGATCTCAACCCTAATTCCGTATTGATATCATGTTGGGATAATGGATTAGATGAAAATTTGTTTAATTTTGACATAGGAAATACCTATATATACACATATTTTTTGAAATAAACAAAGTCATATGAGTTTACGAATTTCCATCTCTTAGAAAATTCTAATATGTGATTTTCCAGCTCTTGTAGATCAAGTCCATGTATAGACCTGTTGTATACTCGGTTGATGAACATAATTTTTTTTTTCAGTATTCCATTTAAACAAATCCAAAAGACAGCTTGCAAAAAGTCTGCCACATTAGTTTATGAAGTTGTGTGTTATAAATGGTTTCTTGACTGTGAAACCTTCAATGTAATTCGTAAAACCCTAAAGTCAAAGGATCTCACATACCCTTTAGTTGACAACCTTTGTGATTATTTAATTTGTCACCATTGATTTGACTAAACCCAAAACGTCCCATTCGTTTAAGTCAAACATTAAACATTCGTAGTAATAAATACGGACTAAACTATCGTATCGAAGTAATAATTTCAATATTATGCCTCTAATTTTTACTACTTTAATGATTGTTTTTATAATTTTTGTGAAACAATAAATCTTTGATCTAATGGTACTCTTTATTTTATGAAAATTTTACTTTCTTGAGATTAAAGGTTCAAACTTTCTTTCCCCTTACCCCTCTTCAAAAAAAAATATTAAATATATATATATATATATAATTTTTGTGAGTCATTTTATACCTACAAAATTTATTACTTTTATGATTAATTTACCACTGTTGTAAGTATTTTTACCACTATTGTAGGTGTTTTTATCACATTTGTAGTAATTTTTTTTATCAAATTTTTTTTGTACAAAAAAATTTATCACATTTGTTTGTGTTTTTACTATATTTGTAGATATTTTTATCACATTTGTAGATGTTTTTAAATTGTTGTAATTATTATTTTTATCATTTTTTGGATACCATACTGTGATAAAAATATTTATAAATATGATAAAAGTAACAACAAATGTGATAAATAGAAGTATTGTACCCGTTTTTTTTTTTTTTGTTACCGTAATCAAGTCCAATAAATATTCAAGTTACTTCACCTACTTTAAACTACCCGGTTACTGCCACAAAAAATAGGCCTTTTGTGGATTTTTGTTTTTAAGTAATTTTATAGGCACCTACAAAATTGATCTGATGATGATGCTATAGTAATTGTTAGATTTTTGCATTCAAACTCTACTTAGTTAACAATTATTAAATTAGTTTTTTTGAGTTTCGATAGTATTGTTCTTTGTCTTTTTGGTATCGATTATGTTGCATAGATAAAAAAAAACAAAAAAAAGGAGCAACAAATGGAATCAACACTGATATGACGAAGCTAATTAAGCAACCACTGAAATTTAAAATGGCCACCAAAATTTTATTTCTTCAAATTTGAAAAACATCAATCAAAATTTTGATCTAAAAATCAACTTGAGCGTTCTCAGCTCAGGATACTTGGATGATCTCAATGTGGACGAACTTTTTCAAAAGATCCTGCACAACTTTCAAATACGATGTCATCATGTCTTCCCTTGCTTCATATTTTGATTTGATCTATCTTTCTATGAACTAAGAATCGTTGTGGATCAGAAGTTGATGTAATTCCATAGAGTGTGATAGCTTCAACTATCAAAGTTTCAAATTTGACTTCGTTGTTTTAGGCTTTGAAGTCAAACCTAAGAACATACTCCAGATTGATGCCTTCTAGAAAGGTCAAGATGAGCCCTGCCCCACTTCCTTATGCATTGGAGGCTACATCAACAAAGAGTTTCCATACTAGAAAGTCGAGTATGAAACCTTGCTTCTCTGGGATCACTTCTAGCTTAGGGGTTGAGATGAACTTGGCTATGAAGTCAATCAGGACTTGCCCCTTCATGGTCGTCCTAGATTTATACCTGATATTGAACTCTCCCAGTTGATGGCCTATTTGACTAGTCCATTTGCGGACTCAGGGTTTTGCAAGACTTGTTTCATAGGTTGATCGGTCGGAATATCAATGGCATGAGCTTGGAAGTAAGGCCTCAAACTTCTTGTTGTCGTTACAAGTGCCAAGACTAATTCTTTCACTTTTGGGCACCTCATCTACTCCTTTTAAAGCTCTCCCGTAGAAATATATAAACTGTTATCTCTTCTCCTCTTCCCTTACCAAGGTCGTATTGATTGAAAAGTCTAACATAACTAGGTATGGACTAAGGGTTTCTCCTTCTTGTGGACTAACCAACACTGAAGGAGAGCTCATGTAGGTTTTTAAGCTCTAGAAGGCCTTCTTGCATTGGTTATTCCATTGAAAAACTGTTTTAAAAACTTTAAAGAATGACTAGCATTTATCGTTTGATTGCGAGATAAAACGGTTAAGGGTTGTTATCCTCCCTATGAGATGTTGTACCTCTTTGATATTAGTGGGAGATTTCATGTCAATCACTATTTTCACCTTCTCATGATTTGCTTCAACCTCCCTTCTGTTTACTATGAAACCCAATAACTTCTCAGCCAAGACCCCAAAGGTGCACTTGGCTAGGGTGAGCTTCATCCCATACTTTTTGAAAATTTGAAATCACTCTTCGAGATGTTGAATGTAAAGCTCTACCTTCAAGGATTTCGCCAACATGTCATCGATGTAAACCCCCATAGTTGACCCGGGTTTTTTCATGAATATTTTTTATTTTTACGAACTACTGATAGGTGGTTCCAGCATTTTTGAGCCCAAATGGCATGATCTGATACCAGAAGTTTCCCTACTCAGTCAAGAATGATGTCTTCTCCTGATCATCAGGATCCATCCTGATCTAGTTATATCATGAGAAGGCATTCATAAAACTTAGAATCTTATAATCCATTATTGAGTTGACTATTAGGTTAATTCGAGGTAAAGAAAAACTATCTTTTGAACAGGCACAGTTAAGGTTGGTGAAGTCAATATACAAATGCTATTTTTCATTAGTTTTTTTTTTTTTTACAAGTACCACATTGCTAGCCACATAGGGTAATTCACCTCTCTTATAGCTTTAGCATGAAAAATCTTGGATACCTCCTCATTGATTATTTTTTGTCTTTCTGAGGCAAAACTCATTCTCTTCTACTTTACAGGTTTGCAGCTTGGGTCCAAGTTAAGCTTGTAAACGATCACCTTGGGGTTAATTCCTTCCATATTTTCCTATTTCTAGGTGAATGCATCTGAGCTGCTTCATAGAAATGCCACAAGCTTCTGCTTAACTTCATCCAATAGTTTGGATCCCACAAAGACTAGGTGTTTTGAGTCCTCACCCATTTGTATGAGTTCTCGTTCCTCCAAGGGAGTTGGCCTTGTATCCACTTCATCCTTCATGTTCAGATTGTCCACTTGCACGGAATCAACCTCCTTCTGGTTCATGAATGACACATAGCATTCTCTGGTCATCTGCTAATCTCCTCTTACAATCCTACCACATTCTCAGTGGGGAACATTATCACAAAGTGGTAGGTAGAGGAAATGGCCTTGATTCAGTTGAGGGATAGCCTCCCCAGGATGACACTAAAATTGAAAAGTGCATTCACGACAAGGAATTTCATGGTGGTAGTGGTTTGACATAGAGGGTCCCCTAGAAAGAGGACGAGCTAAATTAAGCCTAAGGGAAAGACATTTTTGTTGACAAAACCCAAAAAAGGTGTGTTTTTACAAGCTTGAGCTTCTCCTTGTCGATACCTAACTTCTCAAAGACCCCTGAGAAGATGATATCAACAGAGCTTCTGTTATACACGAGCACACGATGCACAAACTTGTTCGCAATGATTGTCTTCACAACCAGAGGGTCGTTATAGGAGAGTTAACACCCCTCGAGATTAGAATGTGAAAAAGTAATTTCGAGGTTGAGACAAGGGGCCTTTTGTATTATTTGACCTTCAAGGAGGTCTTCCATCCTGACCTTCCTCACATGGGCCTTCTTGGTCGAGCTAGATTCTCCACCACCTGCGAAGCCACCAAAAATTACTCTAATTTCTCCTAAAGCTTGTTGATGTTGTTG